TAACTTTTACAGAAACAGTCCACTCAACAACAGAAGATAAACATTCTTTTCAAGTGACCCTGAAACATATACTAAGATATACCATATCCTGGGTCATAAAAGAAACTTTGACAAAATTAAAAGAACTGAGGACCAAAGAGTGGCTTAGCAGTAACACTACTGGAACAACACAGAGGTCTCTGGTTCACATCCCAAGACCAGCCTGTATACTGGAAGCACACAAGTGTCAATGATCCAGGCTGGCTGAGGGTGTGCGTGGATTATGACATATAGACTCTTTTGGGGGGGGGCTGTCTCTCTCTCCTTCCTTCTCTCTCAGAATAAACATCTTTTTTAAAAAATCAAGTAAAACAAGTGAAAACATATAGATTGTGATCTCCAAATACAAATAAATCGAACTAGAAACCAATAACCAAATGATAATAGGGAAATTTCTACACACTTAGAAACAACATAATTCTAAATAATCAATGCCTTGGGCCAGGAGATGGCATGGAGGTTAGGGTGGCTGGGTTCCACATGGCCAACTGTGCGTTCGAGTCCTATACCTGGTAGCTTGAAAATCACGCCAGTCTGGGACCAGCAGATGGCGTAATGGTTATGTCTCTTGACTCCCACATGGCTAAGCGTGGTTTGAGTTTCAGACCTGGCAACTTAAAATTCATGCCAGGTGCATGTACGTGTGTGCCCAAAATCCCCAGAGGAGAATGGGAGCAGGGACCATACCATGGCCATCAACCCTGGGTGGTAATTCCTCACTTACTGTCTCTCTCTTTTTCTCTGGCAAGCACATGCGCCCTATAGTAAAAATATCTCTCAAAAAAAAAGAAAGAAAATCATGTCAGTGTGCATGTGCGTGCCTGCCCCAAATCCTATGAGGAGAATGGAGAAGGGCTTGTGAAGTAGTCATCACTCCTTTGGGGTGATTTCTCCCTTTCTCTCTCCCTCTCTCTTAAGTCTGACTCTCTCCAGCAAATGCATGTGCCCTACAGCAAACTAAAAATAATAATAATCAATGGGTCAAAGAGATCATCTCAAAGGAAATTTAAAAACATTCTGAACTAGGGGCCGACAGGTGGTGTGGCTGGTTAAGGGTGCTGGACTCCCACAATGGCCTCCGACCAATGGTTTGAGTCCTGGACCTGATGGCTTGTTTTCTCACTTTCTCTCTCTCTGTCCCTCTCTGCTTGAATTTAAATAAATAAATAAATAAATAAAGTAAAAATAATTAAAAATAAAATACTGAGCTAAATACAAATAAAAATAGCAAAGTTGTCACACATAAGTGAAACTGTACTCATAGAGGAACTTACAGTACTAAGATGGTTATGTTAGGAAATAGGAAAAATCAGGGCCAGCAGGTGGCGTGGTGGTTAAGGGTGCTAGACTCCCACATGGCCAAATGTGATTCGAGTACCAGACCTGGTGGTTTGCTTTCTCACTTTCTCTTTCTCTCTCTCTCTCTCTGCCCCTCTCTGGTCAAATTAAAATAAACAGATAATAAAGCTAAATAAAATAATTCTTAAAAAAGTTTTTTTTAAAGAGGTGACTTTGGGCATCCACTCAACCTCTGTGCGGGGAGTTTTTAGTCTCTGGCCTGGTAGATTTGTTCTCTGCTTTTGTACTGGAGTCCTCCACCATAAAAATGCTCTGCCAATCCTGAGCCAGGCCAAGAAGCATCCAAGTTTGATTCCCCTTCTTATATTTATTGGAGCTGGAAGTACTGGAGTAGCACTGTATCTCATGCGTTTGGCAATGTTCAATCCCAATGTCTCTTGGGAGGGAAAGAATAACCCTGAACCCTGGAACAAACTGGGTCCCGATGATCAATACAACTTTTACTCAGTGAACGTGGATTCCAGCGAACTGAAGAAAGAAGGTCCAGACTTCTAAATGAAATGTTTCACTTATAAAGCTGCTCATAATGAAGGTCTTCCAGAAGCCATCTGCATAATTTTCCACTTAACCAGGAAACAGTTCTCCTCTAAATGCATGAAATAATTTTGAAGTGTTCAGATTTACACTGGTTAATAAATATCTGAAACTGGTATGTGTCAGTATTTAATGCTGAAATTCTGCTCTAAACTTTATAACTAGGGTATAGGAAATAAAACATTAGATCATTTCTTGAAAAAAAATTTTAAAGAAACTAGGAAAATTAAAATCAAGTATCTAAGCTCCCATCTCAAAAACCTAGGAAGAACAAACAAAAGTAAAAACCCAGAGGAAGCAGAAGGAAATAATAGAGGAAAAAATCAATTATTTTGAAAACAGAAAAACAATAAATAAAATCAGTCAAGTAAAGAGCTGGCTCTTCCAAGTATCAACCAGGCCTGACCTTGCTTAGCTTCTTAGTTCAGATGAGATGAGGCACATCTGGGATGATATGGCCTGGCTCTTTAAAAAAATTGATAAAATTGACTAACCTCTAGCAACAGAGGAAAAAAAAAAAGGTTAAAAACTACCAATATTGGGAATAAAAACAGGGATACCACTACAGACCCTGAATGCATTACAAAACAAGGGCATGCTGAGACCAGGAGATGGTGTGATGGTTACATCACTGGATTGCCACATGGTAGACCGCAGTTGAAGTCCTGGACCCAGTACCTTGAAACTCATGCCAAATGCATATGCATGCATAACCAAAATCCCAAGAGGAGGATGGAGGACAAAGGACTGCATTGTGGCCATTATCCTCGAGGGATGATCTCTTGCTTTCTGTCTGTCTGCATCTGTTTCTCTGGCGAGTATATGTACCCTAGAGCAAGAAGCTCTCAAAAAAAAGAGGAAAATACTAAGAATATTATAATTTACAAACATAAATTTGTCAATTTAGACAAAATGGACAATTCCTCAAAAAAAAAAAAAACACAAACTACAACTGACTCAACACAAAACAGATCATTTGACTAGTCATATAATTGTGAAGGCAATTGAATCTATGATTTTAAAATGCCCCAAAAAGCCATATACAGGCCGAGACAACTTCACTGTTGAAATATACCACATTTAAAAATAACATGGAACCAGCAGATGGCACAAGGGTTACATCACTGAACTCCCACATAGTCGACCGTGGTTCGAGTCCCAGACCCGGCAGCTTAAAATTCATAAGGAGAACAGAGGGGAAGAGACTGCAGCATGATCATCCCCCCTGGGAGATGATTTCTTGCATTCTACCTCTCTGACTCTCTCTGCCTGTCCAGCGAGTGCATGCGCCCCATAGCAAAAATCTCTCTTAAAAAAATAAATAAATAAAAATAACTTAACACTTGGACCCTATGGCAAAAATCTCTCTAAAATAAATAAATAATTGACGTAATGGCTATGTCGCTGCACTCCCATGTAGTCAACTGCAGTTCGAGTCCCAGGACTGGTGGCTTAAACTCACATCGGGCACAAGTGTGCGCCCAAGATCCCCAGAGGAGAATAGAGGAGAAGAGATTTGGGCATGGTCAACCCCCCTGGGGGTGATTTCTTACTTTCTGTCTCTCTGTCTCTCTCTCTGTCTTTCTGGTGAGTGCATGTGCCCTATTGCAAAAACCTCTCCAAAAAAAAAAAAAAAGTAAATAAATAAAAGTAACTTAACACTTGGGCTAGCAGGTGGTGTGGTGGTTGAGGCACTAGATTCCCACATAACCAACTACAATTCGAGTCCTGGACCTGGCAGCTTGCTTTCTCACTTTCCCTTTTTCTCTCTCTGTGTCTCACTCTGGTCAAATTCAAAAATAATAATAAATAAAATTTAATAAATAATTATTTTTTTAATAAAAAGATTAGGACCAGCAGTTGGTGTAATGGCAATGTCGCTGGACTCCCATGTAGTTGACCACAGTTCAAGTCCTGGACCTGGTGGCTGGGGGGGGTGATTTCTCACTTTCTGTTTCTCTGGTGAGCACATGCACCCAATAGCAAAAGCCTCGAATGAATGAGTGAATAAACAGATAGACAGACAGACAGACAGATAGATAACTGATTCTCCATAATCTCTTCTAGAAGACAGCTGAGGCAGGAGATATCTCTCAACTCATTTATGAAACTATTACTCTAAAAGCAAAACAAGGTAAAGACAGTTAAGACACAAAACAAACCTAGAGGCCAATATCCCTCATGGAAACAGATATAAAAATACTCAATGAGGGTCAGCAGGTGGTGTGGTGGATAAGGGTGCTGGACTCCCATATGGCTTGCTTTCTCACTTTCCCTCTCTCTCTCTCTCTCTCTCACTCTCTCACTTTGTCCATCTCTGGTCAATTTAAATAAATTAATTAATTTAATTTAATATTCTTTAAAAAATACTCAGTAAAATATTAGCAAACAGAAGTTAACAATATATAAAAATGACTTTTATTCCAGGGATGCGGTCTGACTCAATGTATGTTAATCAATGAATTAAATCTACCATAACAGACTTAAAGAAGAAAAAACATCACATGGTCATAAAACCCAATATGCATGTGATAAGAGTCAACACCGAGGAGCCCAGCAGGTAGCCTGGTAGTTGAAGTGCTAGGCTCCCAAATGGCCAACAATGGCTTGAGTACTGGACCTGGCGACTTGTTTCTCTCTTTTTCTGATGAGCACATATGCCCTATGGCAAATTGAAAAAAAAAAAGATAATAATTGACAAAATTAAATTTTTAAAATGCAGTCAGTTTTTAAAAATAGAATCAATACCCATTGATTAAAAAAAAAACTGTCAGGAAAATAGAAATGAGGAAACCATCCTCAATTTGATAAAATAATCTAAAAAACAAAAAACAAACAAAATAAAGCCCTACCCAGCTAACATTATACCAATGATGAAAAGCAATGCTTTCTCCCAAAGACCATGAACTAGGCCAGAATGTCCATTCTCATCACTTACTCTATATGCAAGAAGTTCTAGCCTGTACAAAAATGCAAGGAACGAAAAGTAAGACATACAGATCAAAAAGGGATAGGGGCCATGTGGTGGTGCAGCAGTAAAATGAAATACTTTTGCAAGGTTGACTCACATAGAAAGGTTCCAGATTCATGTCCAGAGAACTCCTAAGTGCACCAGATCCACACATGTCCATTATATAAGGCTGAATGAATTCTGAGAGTGGATCACAGGGTCAAGACCCTGCTGGAGGGTGCTGTCTATCTCTGTTTCTCTCAGTCCTGGAAGAAATGAATAAACTTAAAAAAACAGGGAGAAGAGGGGCCAGGAGATGGTATAGTGGTTAGGGCACTAGACTCACACATGGTCAACCACAGTTCAAATCCTAGACCTAGTGATTTGAAAACTGCTCTAGGTGCATGTGCATGCAAGCCCAAAATCCGAGGACAAGGGACCATGGTGTGGCCATCCCCTTTGTGGGTGATTTCTCACTTTCCCTCTCATTGTCTCTGACCCTAGCCAATGAGCGCATGTACCCTATGGCAAAAACAACCAAAAAAAAGGCGGGGGGCGGGGGGCAATCAAAGG